GGGAAAAAATGACATGTTTTGTTCTCAGAGAGAGATTTATAATACTAAGTCGTATACAAATGTAGATATATACATATATACACGTGTCCCATATTTCCCAGGCACATCTCGGGTAGGTATCACGGCTATGACTAGCTTAGACCAGCTCTGACCAGCCTGAGCAAGCTATGACCATCTATAACTAGCTTAGACCAGTTCTGACCAGTTAGGACAAGCTATGACCAGCTTAGACCAGCAGTCCGAATTGAAGCACTCGGGTCCTAACATTAAAAACCGATCTTGTGTCACAATATGACAGAGTGGGGGTAAAGTAAATCTTAACACGTGCCCCACGCAGAGAAATTATAACCTATACGCAACAACAAACGGTGTGCAAGAAAGGGAAACCTTGTTACGGTTTTTGGGGTATATAACATATATAACTAGTGAGCGAGTCAAAATGACTTCATTCCCTTTATAGTCGACCAATAGAAGGTTGACCAATCAGAAGCCGCACAACACTGTATCCGTCGTGTATAAAGGCGGCTATCTTTGTTTTCCTACCGGAATGACCAGAGGCAACTCGTCCGGCGAACATGACAGACGGAAGAACTACGCTTTGCTACTTTGTTGCGATATCCACTGCGAACCTGCACTATGCTTTCCTACTGTCTCCGAAATATTCACTGCCAACCTCTGGATTCTATACTCGAAGACGACCGTCATGAAAATGTCTAACAAACCTTACTTGTAATATTTCCCGAAGGGAAAACTAGAATTACAGCATTTTTTCGATGACGGCAATGATCAAGGGACGTTCTTCTTCGTTGGGCTCTACATCACAACTGCCCTTCTTCAAACTATCTCATTACGTCATTCAATAGCCATCACATGACCCATGTGATTATCTCTACGAGAGGGAGAGAATCGTAGTTAGTAATCCAACAATGTTCTTCTTTTTCTGATGTTGTTTCAAACTCAGGAAACACTTCCAGTTTGTGGATTTATTCCCTTGCTTGGGGATAGTTTGAAAAAGAAATCTTTGAAATGGGTAAATAAAAAATAAAAATTAATCAGGTGGAAACGAAATAAAAATGGAAGAATATGCGTTCATAACTTAATACAGAAACAAAAACAATGATCTAACGAATTGGCAAAAACGTAATTGGTATTTAAAAAAATAGTTATAAATTAATATCCTATGAGAATGCAATGGAACTTGAAAGTGTCGAAGAAAATATAATTAATGGCGGGCGACAAGAAATTGGCGATTATTTGACTGTCGGTATGTAAAATTGCATTCCTGATTGGTCTTATAATACAAGACAATTTTAATATTGTACTTCAACCCCTCCCTGTAAAATAAAGCAAAAAACTCGAGAACCACTCAATGAAAACGGCTATAGTTAACAAGGTAAAGGGTGAGTGATAAGAATCAAAGACAAAATGGCGGAAAAGATAAGATATATGAGGTGCGATGGATAAATTGTCGTCTATATGGCGGCAAAATTAAAATTAAAACACTGGCATCCCATTTTAACAGACAGACAGAGTGCGATGGATAAATTGTCGTCTAAATTACACAAAAATGAATATAGCACTGGCATCTCATTTTAGCAGGTATACAGGGTGCGATGAATAAAATGTCGTCTAAATGACGCCAAAATGAAAATACCACCGCCATCTCATTTGAACTGAAGGACAGGGTGCGATGGATAAATTATCGTCTAAATGATGCCAAAATGAAAATAACACTGGTATCTCATTTTAACAGATATACAGGTTGCGATGGATAATTTCTCGTCTCAATAACACCGACATCTCATTTTAACATATATATATATTTACCAAAATTAATCAAAAATATCTTGAAATACTATAAAGTAAATTTATTCAATAAAATTGCCACTGGCTTCAACCACGGCCTTCAGACGCTTTCGGGATATCTTGTATCTTTTCTGGACGGTCTCCTTGTTTAAGTTGGTGAATGCTGCCATAATCCTTGCCTTGAGATCATCTTTGGTGTTACATAGTGCAGATTCTTGTCTCCTTGTTGAGACTGTGACTCTGTGGGAAGATGAATGGACGCATAACGTCGTCATCCCCAGTGATTACTACAAATAACTTTATAAATACAATAACAACTACCAATATATACATGCATACATAAAAATACAACAACACCCAACCAAATACATGTATTTGGTTGAGTGTTGTTGTATTTTTATGTATGCATGTATATATTGGTGGTTGTTATAGTAGATAGATATATTTATATATATGTTTATTTGTAGATATATATGTATGTGTGTATATATATTTATGTATGTTTGTGTATGTATATATATGTGTGTGTGTTGGCACCTATTATGTATGAGTTTGTTTGTGTGTATGTGTGTGTATGGAAACTTTGGTATATCATGACTGTTTTTATATATGTAAGTATGTGTGCATAAAAATCTGTGTATATATGTGTGTATTGAGGTTTATATGTATATGTGCGTGCATGTGTACTTGTTAACATAGATATGTATATGTGCGTATATGTTTATGTTTATATATTTATTTGTATGTATTTCTGTATGTATATGTATGTATGAGTGTATGTTTATGTGTGTTAATTTGTGTTTGCTGTCATGTATATATATATATATATATATATATATATATATATATATGTATCTGTGGGTTTTTTATCCTGTTTTTCTTTGCCTAATATATAATGAAACTATTATCAACTTATATGATTAATATATATTTTTATTGATATTTAGGGTTTGGAATTTTCGTTTTAATATATTAAATAATATTATTTTTAACCATTTTTATCTTTGTATATTTGCTCCCTTAAGTTATAATTTAATAAGTGGTTAGCATTTATTTAAGTCTGAAATATTTATTGGTTGTGATATCTGATTGTCTATGTCATTGTCTGTGGATGTATGTATGTGTATCTATCGGTGTCTATGTGTATGTAGAGTGTATTCACATTTAACTGTGTGTGTGTATATAAGTATTGGTTTCCACGTCTCCTTTTTTCATAAAGGGCTGTAGAGATG